CCTCAATCGGTTATACGCCTCGATTCGGGTACTTAAGCGAACATAATTATTGATCTACAGTAAAACCCGCTTAAGTACCTCACGAAAAATGTCAGCTTCTCGAGGTACTTAGGCGGGTTGGGTACTTAAAAGAAGCCGCTTAAGCACCTCGATGCGGGTACTTAAGCGAAAATAATTATTGATGTAGTTACATATTTTTGTTAACTTGAATAAAACATAAACATTTAATGAAGTATACGTATTTATTTAAGATTTTACAATTAAAATACCGTTCATTCCCTAGCAACAACAAATACCATGTAAACCTAAGCTTAAGATTTTATAGAACACTGAAAGAAAAAAATTCACCAAAAGATGTGTTTTTTGAGTATACAGTTTTATAGCCCATTAAATTTTAGTGTCATTTAGTGATTTTTTATAATTTTTTCTTTTTGCCGAAGGTGTGTAACGCTGCCACTGAGATTCAAAATATAAAAATCTTTTAAGGAATTTTAAAAGAGCACTTAAAAGGGGAAAATTATAGGTAAAATGGTAAATGGGGTACGAAAAATTGACGTACTTAGGTGGGTTGGGTAAATAGCGGGGAGGTACTTAAGAGAGGGAAAACTATTAAAAAAATATGTGATAAGGGTATTCATAAACCCTATAAATGCATTATAAACCGTATAGACTTATAATTGTGTAAACCTTATAAATTACCTGCCAAGCGGGTTTCACTGTATGTGTGGATGTAATTTTTTATATTAAAGAACGTGCAACAGTTTTAAATTTGTATTTATTTAAAAAGTTCTATAAAATTAACTAGAAAATAGATATTCCGTAGATGATAAAAAAGTAGTTCATTTGCTTTTTATAAACATTTTTTTTCTTAAACATACATAGCTTAGAGTGAAAAGTTGCTAAGTCCACTTTTTATGAAAATTCATATTTTGATATAGGAGGCTAGAAAAAATGGAATACGCATCGTTTCGAAAATTATAAAGGTACTTGTTTTATTTTTTCCTCTTCATAAGCAATAAAAGGAAAATTTGCTAAGTCCAAAAGAAGCACCACAAATCGGATAAGGCCAAAATAATACGACATCTTTTAATAAATATCGAATCCTTCTGATTCTTAAAAGCGCAAAATGTTTGATTCAAAGTCTTGCGAAATGGTTAAAGAAAATGGCTATAGGAAGATTTTTTCCTCTCCTGTAAAATTTTCAAAATGGGACTTAGCAACTTTTCTTTCTAAGCTAGCGATATATGAAAGCAGTATGTAAGAGAGGGCTAGAGTCTGTTTTGGGTCATATGGATTGCTCGTAATAGATATACTCTGTCTACACACTACGTAGTATGTTCAGAAAAAGATGTCGTATGTATACTTTAGCTTGGGGATTAACTCCATTTTTGGAAAATAAAAGAATTCATTCGATTTTGTGCGTAGCTACGAAAAGGACGTGTTTTATTCGATACCACTATAACCTGATATATTACACTACCAAATAATCTATTTGCATCAGCTGATTGACAAATAAAAAATCTAAAAATACAAAAGCGAAACGATGAATCCACAAAATGTTTAATTTGCTACGAAACCTCTATATTGTCCCAGGTCAACCTGCACACAGGGCTGCCAACTTGGCTCAAACCGTAACGTTTTTGGCCCTATTTTACATCAAATGGCACTTAATTTTTCAATTTGGCAAAAAGTGCCAAAATGGCACTTTTTAAAAATATTAATATTTCGATTCATTTTTGTGAAATCCTTTGCGTGTAATTCTTTTTCTCAACTAAACTTTTCTAAATTTCTAAAGACTATTCAACTGGTTTATCTTATTTTGGCATTGCACTTTTGTTTTAGAAATGTAGTTCTTATTTTATTGCTAAATGGAAAGGATCAAAAAGGATGGCACATTTTGGCACCTTTTTATCACCAATATGGCACCTCATAGCTATAGAATAGTTGGCAGCCCTGCCTGCACAATACTTTTCTGTTACTATTATTTATTTCATGTAAATATCAAAATGTAAACATCATGTTTCATATCAAAGTGGATAAAACCATTTCTCGCAGGGGTCGGTAAATTTATATTTTTATTAATGCTGTTATTTTTGCTTAAATAGTTTTATAGCATCATATAATATTAATTTCTCACATCACAAATCAATTTTATTAGCGGTGCCTTTCGTCCTAACGCCAGAGAACTTGTTTTCAACAATATTTTGGTATATAAATAAAATATAGTTCATAAAAAATAAAAGTGTTATTCATTTTACACATCATTGTACACAGAAGCCAATAAACTATTTTAGATTTGAGACATTTTTGAATGTTCAAATAGTCAAAGAATTCTATACATTTCATTTTAAATTTACTTTTAATTTGAAGTTCACTCTAAAAAATTTTAATTAGAAGCCGATTTCTCTCTTTGCGTCAGGAAATAAACTATACACATACTTAAGATCCTCACAGTTGTTAAAGAAACTAATTACATATTTTTTCAAAATGTGGAAAAGTACCACTTACAAGGACTTTATCTACATATATTTCCTCATGACTTAAATAAATTTTTTCAACTACGCAAAAACTTTGAAAGACTAAGAATTCGCTAAAAAATAGTATCTAACTCCATGTCTCGTATGCAAAACTCTTTAATAATGTATGAAAAAAGAATTGTAATTTATAGGCAAAATTTGTTGTTATTAAACTGAAAGTTATTTTCGGGATAACTAACAACAC